AACAACAGTTCACTTACCTCAAAATGAGGTAAAATAATTCCGTTTCTAAATCCGTCCAGGGAGTTCCTTTCCTCAAAGCAGACTTTCGAAAACTTAGAGAAGAAATTTTCCTCACCACCCGATCCTGAAATGAGGCACATATGCAGCAACACTAACAAATACTTGAAACACAAATTTTAAAAATACAGCCAAAAAGCAAAGTATGCCGAAAACCTCGTCAACAGTTTCCCAGACATTTGCAGACTTTTCTTGTTCGACCGTCAAGCTTGATTCGTCTAAGACAAGGGAACCATCTTCAGCAATACGAACCTTAGAAAAGGACATTAAAATGAGAAACAAAAAAACGAATTGTTGTTGTGAAGAGGAAGAGGCGGCATAGAAATAATGAATACTTTAGGTGCTGGTAACGCAGAGCATTTTTCTTCCGCCTTGCTAGAATTGGCCTCAGACGTTGATTCCCCTGCGGAAGTAGCAGATGAAGATTTTCTAACACGTTTACTACTATGATATTTCATTACCTGTGAAACAAAACAACCTATTTAATGAGGACAAAAAACATGAAACTCTACTACAGGTTCAAAGATATTCTCATATGACCTTACTGTATCATTTTTTGGATTCCATGATATTAAGTCATGCATGGTCATGGTCTTGGGATCAAGTGGCTCCTCACCAGTGAATTTCTTTCTAAAAAACTCAAATAACTAATAAATTTATTAGTAACATACACCAACTACTCAATAAAACCAGTGACCTTGACTTTCTTAACAAAAGGGGACTTCTCAGAGGAGATTCTGAACGCTGAATTTCACTTGTGCTTTGAACGTCATCTTGTTCCGTAAACTGAGTATCATTTGATTCAACAGCCACTCTGAAATGAAACAGTAATAAAGCATATTTTTTACAGTAAGAACCAGAAATCTAAATTGGAAAGCAGCAGAAAAATTAAATAAAAACGATCAATTTTGTTGAGTAGTATCTTTCAATCACAACTGGCAGAATAAATTAGAATAAACATTTACTCATTATCACCAACGTCAGTCACCATTCCTTTGTCTTCTTGGCTAGAAGAAGTACATCGAGACTCTGATTCTCCCGGAGCTAAAAAAAATATCTTTGAAACTTAGCAACTTTCCAGGTTTACAAGATAATGAAATCATGACAAGCAAATAGGCAAAAAAATTCTTGCTTCCGAAAAAAATTCCTTTTAAAATGTGGATCTAGAAAGAAAATCGCTTACTTAAAGTTATGAAGCACCGAAAAAAAACTGTTTGGCTAAACAAAATTTTCGCTTCTAACATCAATTTTTGAGTTCTTCTGCTTAAACACCCTTCAAATATATCTGAATTGACAAAACCACGTCACTGTCATAAACCATATATATATATTTCTTCTAAAACTTTCAGAAAAATAAATTAAACTTGCCTCCATCAACATCCAATTTACATACAGGTTTTTGCGCAGGAGAATTTTCCTGAACAACCTGTATGTCCTCACCTTCTACGGTCTGTTTAGATGGTAAACTGCTGGGGTTTAAATCATTCAATGCCGATTGTTTTATGTCCCCTGAAGAAGGTGCGACATAAGTGCTCTGTTGCTGGTCAGTACTTGTTGTCTCTTTAGGGCGTTTTGCTCCCACTTTGCTAGGTTTCAGATTTGGACGAACCTTAAAACAACAAGTTGATTCAACCACGGAGCTACCAAAACACCTGGCTAATGCTCACCTGAATACGACATCGACGAGACAACATCTTAAATCCAAATTGAAATTTCCTTCCTCAAAAAATAATTCAGATTTAAATAACGCTCGAGAAAACGTATTATTTCGAGCAAACTTCGGACATAAGAATTCCAATATCAGCCATAAAAGCTACGATTACATCACTCCAGCTTGAACTTCCAGACAGTACGTACCAAAAGTGAACAAGTAGTTATCTGCAATTGACCTGTTGCTAAATGTATCTGCTACTTCTGTAGTACTTTCAATAACCACTGAGTGAATTTTGAAAAGAAACTTCTGACCAACAAGTTAACCAAAAGTTTTCTAATAAGTAAATAATCAGTTGGCATAGCTAACTGTTTAAATAAATCGTCAAGAGAGATAGTGGAAGAGAAATCTTTTCTGCAAATTTCGGAGGTAGTGAAAAATTAAAGAAAAAAGCAGAACAAATATTGACGAGATTCTAAGAAATGATACAGTTTCAACTGAAAGACCATGTTAACCTTCATAACACCAAAAAGCGTCTTCAGTGAAGGTATTGGATCCCAGCTTTGTGTACATGGGCGTTAACCCATCACTCAAAAAACCAGAACGCCGTCAGTGAAATTAAATTCTCCGTGCCGAGTGCTTTAGTCATAACGTAACCCATTATATTTGATGAAAAAGTAAACCTTTAACAAAGAATTCAGATTTTATCTTCTTTGACCCTTCCTCCTGAATTTAACGAAGGTTCAGGCAAACCAGTACAAGTGCAGAAGTCTTACAACTTGAAGCATCAAAAATGAAAGTCGGAAGCACTTACATGCACACTTACAACACTTACAGCACTTACAAGCACTTACATTGATAGAAGATTCAGGCAAAAGGCAAGTTAGTCAAAGGCGAAAGAAAAGAGATTTAACATCACTTCTGACGGAGAATAAATTAAAAATCACTGACTCTTTTCAATTACAACATTTTGTTACTACTCTTTTAACTCCGAAAAACATTTCTGGAAAAAAATTTGATTCAAACCATAATTTTTCAAACCATGTGTCGAACTTGATTACGGAACCCTTTTCATGACGTGAAACATTAAAACTGAGATTTTTTCCCTGGAAAATTAGATTGTAATAACATTCGTCGCAATGCATTTGAGAAAACCAAATTACTGGGTGAACAAAAAGCGAAACCACCTCCGTCATGAAATTCAGTGAAATAAACTATTCATCCTTCATTAGATGCCAGTATTTTAAAAAGCCTTACAGCAACACCACGTGTATACATTAAAACACGAAGAAAAATGTCACGAACAGTGCATTATGCGACAACGTCGAGAGAAATACCTTTCCTAAAACTCTCAAAAAAGAAACTGAGAACACAGAAAACTTTGAAAAATTACATTTTTAAATTAAAATTTTCAAGTTCTCAGATACAGCCCCAGATTTGCCAAATATACAAAAGACCGCTTGAAGTTCACGTCAAAAAATAAAGTAGCACAGTTCTATAGAGTTCTCTTTCCACAAACAATTACACGAAAAATCAGTTTAATTTCCAACCAACCTGCATAACTACAAAAAGGTTGAAAACGAAAAATTTTTTGACGAATTTCGCTTGTCTTAATCCTACATTTAAAAAAAATTATTTTCTATCGCAGTTTTTCTTTTCGATTCAGTGACGTTTGTCAAAAAGTCGTCTTCTCGTTAAGACTTCTACAGAAGCCCTATAATATGATGTCTCCTCTCCTTTACGATGACTCTGTCTCAACAAGAGAATAGACCTTTAAAATGCCTTAATTCCCAATATCGTCTCTGATGTTTTCTAAGTGTTTCGTTTAATCCAACACGAAACAACTGGTTTTTCTGGAACACAAAAGCTACCATCCTTCAAATAAAAAAAAAACCAAAAGTTCCTCACAAATGCAGCTTTAACGTGCACTAATTTACGCAACTCCCAACACATAAATTAATAACTTTCTTAAAAACTGACATCATGTTTTGATAATAAACTTCTCTAAAACTCGCAGGCTTTCGTGGATCAGTATGCAGTAAAGAAAGGACAATTGGCAGAATGGCGCTATTACAGTTACAAATAACCATCTCCGAACAAGCTTTATTTGACTGCTAACCCAACTGCACTTCTTTTAAATGAGGCTTTTGACATTACCTAGTCCGTCTCCTATACTTTCAGACTCGTCTATGTAGCTTTCGCCTGAGAAGACTACATACGAAGTGGTACAGAGGTAAAACAAACACCTGAATTGTACACTTCGCCCAATACCTCTGTTTCAATTATTCCTTGTTTTCTACAATTCTGTTTTAACCTTACTTCATCTTCCATAACCCGCAGTTGCCTCTCTTCAATGAAAGTTATTCTCAAAGTAACTTTTTCCACTTGCTCACTAATTCTTTGAGTTGAAAAAAAAAAAA